TGGATCGGCATAGCACCGGCTGTTGCACTCACTTGGGGAGTGAATCATCGGAGGGAAGATCTTCTTCTCTGACTCTCCTCCTCTCTGTATATCTGGCTTTCCAATAAATAAATAAATCTTCAAAAAAAAAAAAAAGAGTTTTGGTTGAGATGCAAGTGACAGACATGCAAATCCCACGAGCATTCTCAAACTGCAGTTTTCTCCACACAAGATTGGAATGGATTGGAATTAAAGCACAATGCAGGGTATTTATATAGATTAGAATCATGGACTAAGAAATGTAAGAGACAAATTTCACGTGACACTTTATAAGAAACCGATAAACACGACTCAGAGTCAGAGTTGGGTCTTTTTTTTTTACCTGTGCATCCTCTCACACATCACGCCACATCTCAGTTATAAAAGAAACTATCAAAAAAGGTGCTTGGAAAATAGGTATCATGAACAATTATGTTCAGATTTCAAAATCTTTTACACCAAAATAAACTTATCTTTCCGTTACATTTTCCATGGGCTTTATGAAGTACTCCCTGTATTTGTTGCAGAACCCTTAACTGAAAACAGCATGTATGCGTATAGTGCTTAAAACCTGGGGCGAGTGTTTTAACACAGCTAAAGTACCTGCATATCGCATCAGAGTGCCACTTCTTATCTAGCTCTGTGCTAACATACCTGGACCGCAGCCTTGCAACCCATGTGGCAGATAGAGACACCGGCTCCTGGCTTAGGTGTAGTCCAGCCCTGACAGTTCAGAGTGAAACGGTGGATGGAAAATTCTCTTTATCTCTCTTTTTCCCTACCCCCATCTCTCTTATCATTCTTTCAAATAAATAAAATATCTTAAAAACACCCGGGATAATACAAAATTTAGCCTTTTTCTACTACATGTTTCACTATTTTACCATCTTCTAGCTACTCATCTTGGATACAATTGACAGAAGATGAAAAAAAAAATGGAGTTGCAAATGAAACATTCCTAAATTGTTTTTTCTTTTTTTTTTTTTTAAGATTTAGTTATTTTTATTGAAAAGTCAGATATACACGGAGAGGAGGAGAGATAGAAAGAAATATCTTCTATCCAATGAGTCACTCCCCAAGTGACCGCCACTTCCCAAGTGACCGCAAAGGCTGAAGCTGAGCCAATCTGAAGCCAGGAGCTTCTTCTGGATCTCCCACGTGGGTACAGGGTCCCAAGGCTTTGGGCTGTTCTCTGTTAACTCCCGTTTTACTAACATAAGCTTTATCATATTAACATGTCTATTTTTAACAACAGAATTTTGAAATTCTCTTTTTTAAAAAAAGATTTATTTACTTATTTATGAAAAGTCAGATATACAGAGAGAAGGAGAGATAGAGAAGAAGATCTTCCGTATGATGGTTCACTCCGTAAGTAGCTGCAATGGTCAGAGCTGAGCTCATCTGAAGCCTTGAGCTGCTCTGTGTCTCCCATGCAGGTGTAGTGTTCCAAGACTTAAAGCCATCCTCTGCTGCTTTTCCAGGCCACAAGCATGGAGCTGGATGGGAAGCAGAGCTGTCCGGATTAGAACCGGTGCCCATATGGGATCCTGCAGATGTAAGGTAAGAACTTAAGCTGCGCAGGGCCCTGAAGTGCTTAAGAATCAAAAACGCTAAGGTGGACTATGTCAGCCAATGGACCTTAGAAAGATTTTCTCATCCTTGGAGCACCCAAATCAACAGCATTTCAGAACTATCAAAACCACTTGAGCAGAACCCTTGCAGCATGCTGCATATCATGGGATATGCATCAAGTGGCTGTTTGCCATCCCTGGGTACTGATGCTGTAAGGTTTCTGGCAGTGGCTCCTCCTCTTCTATCTCTTCTTCCCCTAGACACAGAAAAAAGAAAAAGAAAATTGGAAACAATGGTCCCATCCACTTTTCCCTATTCCTTGACCCTTCCTCACCAGTCAGTGGTCCACATGGGCATGCACCCTTCTCAACTATGTAAACATTATCCTATAAATGCAATAATAGGGCACAGCATGGTAGCCCAATGGCAGTTCTAATCCCGGTAGCACTGCTTCCCATCTAGCTTCCTGCTTGTAGCCTCGGAAAGCAATTGAAGATGGCCCAAAGGTTTGGGACCCTACACCCATGTGGGAGATTCAGAAGAGGCTCCAGACTCCTGGCTTCAGATGGGCACAGCTCTGGCCAATGTGGCTACTTGGAGAGTGAGTCAATGGATGGAAGAACGTCCTCTCTGTCTCTTCTCCTCTCTGTAAATCTGACTTTGCAATAAAAATACAACAAATGTATGTTTTAAAAGATTTATTTTTATTACAAAGTCAGATATACAGAGAGGAAGAGAGACAGAGAAGATCTTCTGTCTGATGATTCACTCCCCAAGTGAGCGCAATGGTCGGTGCTGTGTCAATCCAGAGCCAGGATCCAGGAACTTCCTCTAGGTTTCCCACACAGGTGCAGGGTCCCAAAGCCTTGGACCATCCTTGACTGTTTTCGTAGGTCACAAGCAGGGAGCTGGATGGGAAGTAGAGCTGCCGGGATTAGAACCAGTGCTCATATGGGATCCTGGGACGTGTTCAAGGCGAGGACTTTAGCTGCTAGGCCACGCTGCCCAGCCCAAAATAAATATTTTTTTAAAGTTAAATTTAATCATACACAGATGTTGTTCATAGGGTACAAGAAGCTAGCTACTATGTTTGTTGTGGGTTTTGAGTGAGATCACTCCAGACAAGTCTAGGGTTTATTAAGCAGTCTTTATTAACTGAGCTTGGTGATAACAGGGCCTACCAGAAATAACAAATCACAAATCCATATAGCAATCCAGTCAGTCAAAACCCCAAGAGGAACAAATGGTCATTCCTCTGAAGTCCACCCATTAAACTGAAGATCTATGTCCCAGCTTCCCCAACAACGTAAGTTATCCTAAGAGACATGCAACAAGTAATATGGACACACTTACAAAGCTGCAGACATTCACTTTTCCCTGGCTTCTCTGCCCACATTCCATCACTGCTAGGCCTTACCACTCCTGGAACTCTTGATACTACACAATTAGAAATACAAAGCATCTTAGAATTAACATCTTTATTGTCCCACCCAAGCAATGATCAGAGGGTAAGGAATACAGACATATATATTTGAACTCCACAGTCAGACCATAGAACCTGCAATAGAACTTCCAAACCTTCTGATTGGAGTTCTGAATCCATTCATTGAGTTGCGGGGGTTTGGTGGTTCTCAACGAAACCTGATTTGGGGTAACCCCAGACCTGTTCCTGTGTGTGCTTGCTATTACAGGTCTGGCAGAATCTGTCATCCAAATCAACATATGCACACACTGGTGGTTGCAATTGCTGGGTCAGTTCTGTCTCCAGCCCTGGTTTTTATGGAAACCAATGGGTGTTGCAGCACAGCCCAGTGCTGCCCAGCACACACTTGGCCTTCATGTAAACCAGGAGGAGTTGCAGCCTGGTTAGATCCACAATAACCCCCACCAGGCCTGCCCCCTGCCCTGGTTCCCATGCTTGCTGATATGTACAGCAGACTGGTTCAGTCTGTCCCCTATCCCATTCAGCTATTGTATATGGCAGTGAGCACCTAAGGCTAGTTCATCCGAAAGAGCCCCACTCTCCACACCAGCACCACTATTCAGTAACCACTATCCAGTGCTTGCAGGTGCCACTCTTGGACTAGCCATGCCTGCCCCAGTCCTGGTTCTCATGCTCCCCCCTGGGAGTGGCAACCCAAGAGGGAAGTGCCCACTGTTTCCCTACGGGACCCTCACCCACTTCCAGGTCTTGTACTCTCCAGGCGTTTCTGCAATTAAACTTGACAGAATTTGCCCCCCATCTGCCAGCATCTGCTAGTTGGTGCTGGGGACAAGTCCAGTCAACCCACACCCACTTTGGCTTATGCATACACCACTACATACAGTCAGCCCAGCCTGGCTTTCCACTGATCCAGCTCACATGAGGCAAACAGGTGTTGTAGCCCTGTCCGGTCTGTCTGCCACCATCCCAGCTCTTAGGCTCACCAGTGGGAGGAGTGGTCCGGCATGGGAGCTCACCTCAGTTCTTCTACAGGGCTCACCCCTCTCTTCAACCCCCTCAGGCTCACATGTGTTGGTTGAGCACTGTGGCCCAGACTGGCACGGCCCACCTCATCTTGGCATTAGTCAGTGGATGTTTTAGCCTGTCTAGGCCTGGCTCACCCCCAGATCCAGCTCATGCTGCGGGGGACTACAGACTAGCCCAGCCCAGCCAGTCCTTACTACCAGCCCTAATGGGAACTAGCTGATATCGCAGCCCTAACCAGCGTGTCCCACACACAATTCTGGTTCTCAGATCTGACAGCAGGTGATAGGAACTGCTCCAGCCTGGCTTGCCCCCTGACCTAAGCCAAATGCATGCCAGTGGTATCCTAACCTGGCCTGGTCTGGGTTGCTCCCTGTCTTAGTTCTTGTGCTTACCTGTAGGGACTGTGTTCCTACAGAAGAGTTCCCCAAGCTCTTACATCAGGACCCCTCCCTACCAGACCTCACACACACCAGTGGGTCCATGGCCCAGCCCTACTTAGTCTACCTCCTGTCCTAGCAGGAACAGTGGCCTTTCCTGATCAGCCCTCATGCATTGTCATTCTTATTGTTGTGTGCTACAGAAAAATAAATGAATCATATAAAAAGTTAGTACAAGTCATGAAAAAGGAAACACCATGTCAATAATCAATTTCAGGAATATGAACAACATCATCCTTCACAAAACATGTAAGCTTTCATTAGATTAGAACAGAATTTTCTGAAATACTTACGAGTAAGAAATTTTAAAGCAGAAACCAAAAGCCACACATTGTGGAAACCAAGTCACTGAAATACACATATTTCATAACGCAGGAAATACAAATACAATGTTTATCACATACAACACTGAAAGTCTTTAGATGAAATTTTGACAAGCCTTCTCACTTGGTCTCTTAAGTATTGTTGTGAATATATAATCGGGAATTTATTTTATTTATTTATTTTTTTTCATTTATAAAAGGTACGCTAGTTTATTTAGTCACAGATAGCTGACTGATTCAGGTGACTCAATACCACAAAGAAACCACTTTATTCTGAGTGCTCGGAATGACACCAGACTGGCAGGAGTGCTGCTTGAGGCCCATTCACAAGTTTACAAGTTTCTCATTGAGGGCAATCTGTGATTGTGTGAGATTGGCCAGGTAGGTCACCATCAGCAGGTCATTGATGTTGCTGTTGAGCATGGTCTCAAAGTCATTGGGAACTTGATTAACCAGGCTCATCAAGAAGCGGCCCACGGTGTTGTCAGCTGACACCTTCCCAGACAGCACATCCTTGGCGTACTGCAACACCGTGCTGAGGGCATCCTGGATGCCAGCGGACACCCCGCCTACTTGCCGTAAGTCACTCAACAGCCCAATCACCTTGTTGGGGCTGAAACACGTCTTCATGATCAGGTCAACTCCAATGCGTTCAGAATCATAACACACATACTTCACGGTCAGAGGTGTGACCATCACTCCCATGGTCCTCCCTGGGACACCCATCGAGGTGCTGACGTAGGCCTTGATGCTCATGCGGCCATTCTGCAGACTGGTGAATGGGGTTGGGGGCCTCCCGGCTGTAGTACTCGTGGATCAGCTCTGTGCTGTCATGGCCTGTAGCATACCAACCCAGGATGAGTTCCTTTGGAGTGACTTTTTTGTGTAGCTCATGCATGTTCTTTGCAAATTCCATGTCAACTTCCACTTCATCTTCTGACTCATTGTGTGGCACTGAGAAACAATTGGTGACCTCCACTGAGTGCTTGTCCACAGTTCCCAGCAGCGTCCCGACCACCTGGGCGGCGTCCAGATCATCCACGATGGAGGCCAGGATGACCAGGTGCAGCCTGACCACGCCGGGGAAGGGCCCCGGGAGCGCGGGCCTGGGCAGCGAGGGCGCCGGGGCTGGCGCTGGAGCTGCGGCCGGGGATGCGGCCCATAATCGGGAATTTAAACACAGAAAGGAAATTGTAGCATAGTGGCAGAATTATCAATATATACTAATGGGACTTTTATGCAAACCAAACTTAAACTGATGAGAGAATCAGGCAAGATTTCTACATAGGAGATCAACATATACAATGAAGAACTACGTACTACTAAGAAACAATATAGAGCAATATGAAAATTTAAAAAAATATGGAAATGAAATGATAATCAGAGAAGTGAGAATGAAAAGATTAATTTATACCATATTTTCAAATATTTTTCAATTCTGTATTTTAAAAGTCATTTTACCTAACGTCAAAAGCCACTACAAAGACGTCCCGGAAACGATTGAATATTCAGTGATTTGTAATTTGAGACTATTGTCACACATTTTGGGATTCTAGACTTGAAGCAGAGAGGGAAGGAGAGGCCAGGAGGTGGACTGATGTGAGAGGCAACAGCGGCCCCTGCTGTTGGAAGGCTCAAACTGCAAGAGAGGAGGCCACTTCCTGCCTGAGGTGAAGCCCCGCCCCTCACTCCCCCTCCCTCCAGAATCCTACCCCCCCTGCCCCTCTGCCCTTTGTGATTCTGATTGGCTGCGCATTTTCTGACGTGCTCAAGGTCTGTGGGAGCGGTCCAATCAGGCGCACCCAGGAAACAGAGTGAAACCGGGCGGGAGGTTGTGGGCGCCGCCATAGGCACGTTGCTGGTCGTGCTGGTGGAGAGGCGCAGGTGGCTGAGCCAGTGCTGCCCTGTGAGCTCCCTCCCCGCAGGAGCCTGTGCAGGACACCCGACTGGTGAGAAGCTGGGAAGGGTGAGTGTGTGAGAGCATCTGCTGAGGCCCCGGGGCGGGCGGGGGCCAGGAGGGGGACCTTGGGGTCCTCACTCTGCAGCACTGACCTTGAACACTAGGACTCAGAGTGGAACCCATTGTGCAGTGAGGAGGGGGAGTGCCCAGGGACACTTAGACCTTCATGTTGGGCAGGGTTCCTTTTTTTTTTCTTTTCTCTCTCTCTCTTTTTAAACTTATTGCATTATTTTCTTTTGCCTTGATTATTACATTGGGTTGAGAAGTAGCGTCTGGAGCCCCCAGCTCAGTCCTCAGTGAAGCTCCTCCTCCTAAGGGTCTGGGGCAGTTTTCTTGTTGCTCACACCAGACCAGCACAGACTCCAGCAGTTAGAACAAACAGCCTTGTTTTCCTCAGAGTTTTGCTGCAAGGTTGAGGGGCAGCATGTGGTGCTGGCGTTGTGCTTGGCAGAGGCCTGGGGTGGCACAGCGACCTTGTAGACAAGCAAAGGGGGTGCACGGGGACTCACGCAAAGGGGCTTCTCTAGAAGAACCTGAGGAAGGAGCTGTGAAGGCAGCACTACTGATTTATCCTGATGGCTTCTGGTATGTTGTCACCCATTCCCTTAAGTTCTCCCAATTGGGATTAAATGTCCCATGAGTTGTAGAGGGAATAAGTCAGGTTCAGCAGAGAGCATTAAGGCAGGGAATAAATCTCTGAATGTGCAGAACTCTTGCCTCAATGCCAAGTGCTGCTCTCTGCCCTGAAAATCACAACAGGAGTCACTATTTCCTCCAAGATACAATTCAGTAAGTTGTCTTTTTTTTTTTTTTTTAAATTTCTGTGTCACCAAATAAGCATTAGCTCTTTAGAAGAACTGTTTACTCTGAACTGTTGGTGTGGGAGAAAAGCAGTGAATGGCCACCTGACACAGCACAGGAAGGCATCCCTGCCCTGTGTGGGTGTGTGTGACAGTGGTTCAGATGACATTGGGACTCCTGTGTCTCCATCAGAATGCCTGGGTTTCAGTTCTGTGCAAATGCAGTGTGCAGCTACTGCCCAGGCTGGGAGGCAGCAGACAGTGGCTTGGGTTTCAGGGTGAAAAAGCTGACTTAGTTTGTTGTTGTGGCTGCTGCAGGCATGTGGGAAGAGAGAGTGGTTGAAAAATCAGTGCAGTAAATAGAAAAAAAAAATTAAGTTTCAAAAGTCTTAGTGTATCTCCTTTTACCTAACTTACCTGCATGCATTTTATCAGAATATCTTCAACCTGTGATCCCCCATTGAAACATTTACATTGTCCTACTATACTCTTTTTGTTTTTCTGAGTTTCAAAATACTTTGAAACAAAAAACATGACTAACTCGTCCTCTGGCTCACTCATTCTCCCTGAAAGAGACCAGTAGATTGGGGGTTTCCATTCAGAGTGGCAGCTGATGCCCTTGAACTTGAGGGCATCTGTTGTGTTCCATTTCTATTTAATATAGCTACCGCCTCAGAGCTTTTCCCATCCAGAACTCCATGCCTTGGTGACATATTAATGTCATCCAGAGAAATGATCGATGCACTCTGGGTTCTCTGAGCCTTGGCTACCTAGGGAGTAAAACCTTGGCAAAGGCCCAAGTACATCCTAGGGTCGTGAGCTTGGGATACGCAGCAGTTCCATTTGGCATCCACAGGTTGGTTTAGTCTGAGGATAATTTGTACCAACAAAGATTCTTTGTGAAGGTAAGATTTTGGTGGCCGAGAGTAATTCTCAATTTGTGAATGTGTTTATGACTGTTTTCCTAAGTTATTTCAGTGAATATTTGCAGTGTTCCTATTCTGGTGGCAGAAAGGGTAAAAAAATGTGAGTGTATTTGACTGGTTTAATAAAAAGTTAGTATTATTTGTGTTTAATATCTGGGACAAGGGTCTTTTTTGAAGTTTATTTTTATTTTTACTGGAAAGCAGATACACAGAGAGGAGGAGAGACAGAGAAGAAGATCTTCTGTGCATTGATTCAGTCCCCAAGTGACTGCAAATGCCTGAGCTGCACTGATCCAAGCCAGGAACCCAGAATCTGGTTCTTTGTTTCCCATGTGGGTGCAGGGTCCCAGCGCTTTGGGCTGTTGTCAGCTGCTTTCTCAGGCCACACACAGGGAGTTGAATGGGAAGCCAGATCACCAGTATTAGTGCTGGCACCTACATGAGATCCTGGCCCCTGCAAGGAGTGGATTTTAGCTGCTAGGATATCTAAGTGGGCCCTCTACACAACTTCTAAAAAGGGGCAAAAGACCAGAAAGAGCTGACACCTGCTATCCACTAATATCAACCTGCACCTGTATGTAGAGATTGAGCCTTGGACCCTGAAGCCTCTGCTAATTGCAGATGATGAGATAATTGAATTGTGTTGTGATTAGGTGTTGGTAGTGAATTGGTATTAAGCAAAAATAGCACATCTGATGTTATAAAACCAGTCTCAGTGAATGCAACCTTAAGTTGTAGTTAAATGTGTGATTGCATCAGAGAGTTAAGATGCTGGAGGAGACACTGCAGGCTGTGAGGAGTTCCCAGGTCTACACTGTCACATTTCTGGCTGCTTAGGATTCCCTCCATCAGTGCAGTGAGCCCCCCTGGGCACTGTGTCCTCAGTGAGAGTGATCCCCAAGGCCTGGGAACGTGGGGAAGCTGCTGAGTGTGGGTCTCCCTGTGAAGTGTAAGCAGGCTCCTTCCCAGAGCTCATTCTCTGTCATGTCCTGGTGCTTTGATTCGCAGTTTGCTCACTTAAGCAGGAATGCTGTGCCCTGATGTGGTTGTTACATCTTTGCTCTCTTGCATAGAACCTGAGTTTATGTAATGGTCTCAGCGAAAGAAAATTAAATTCTTGACAACTTTAGTTTTGCAATTTTTCAGTGAGACTGTAGCAATATCAGCTGCATACCTAGTGAGAAAAACGCCTTTGTCCGTTCAGGCATTGGTCTCTTTGATGTTCCATCTCCAGAGTTGACTGAATCCTAGTACTGTCTGACAAGTGATGTTTGTGATTTCTTAAACTGAAGTTTTTTAAGTGTTATGGTATGGTAAATAAATCTTCAAAATATGTCTTTGTTTTCTTTTTAAAATTGTTTTATGTGTTTTATTTGTTTATATTCAAGTGAGAGTGCAAGTAAGAGACAGGGCCCATCAAGGTGGCCTAGCAGCTGAAAGTCCTCACCTTGAGCACTCTGGGATCCCCTATGGAAGCTGATTCTAATCCCTGTGGTCCCGATTTCCCATCCAGCTCCCTGCCTGTGACCTGGGAAAGCAGTGGAGGACTGCCCAAAGCCTTGGGACCCTGCACCCACGTGGGAGACCCAGAAGAGCTCCTGGCTTCAGATCGACACAGCCGAACAGTGACTGCACAGCCATTATGGTCCAGGTGGAGTAAATCAGACTGTATTTCTGTCTTTTTTCTTTCTTCCTCTCTATATATGTGACTTTGCAATAAAAATTAATGAATCTTTAAAGAAAAATAAAGACTGCGATCACTACCCACTGGCTCACTCTGCAGGTGACTAAATAGCTAGTGCTGCACCAAGCTGAGTCCTGGAGCCTGCAGCTTCCTCCAGGTCTTGCATGTGGGTGATCAGGGCCCAGGCACTTGGATGATCTTCCACTGCTTTTCCCAGGAGATTCACAGAGTGCTGGGCTAGAAGTGGAACAGCTGATTCCATATGCGATGCTGGTGTTGCAGTTGGCAGCTTTACAATTATACCACGATGCTGGCCTTTGCTTTTGCTTTTGATATGATGACAGTACTTGCTTTTCATTTCTCATATGCTAATTCATTACAAATGTTTTGCATATGGGACAATATTATGGTACAGACTGGGGATAAATTCTGATTGGTGTATGAAGTATGGGCAGGGTAGAAGGATTTCAGTCTAACATTTCCTCCCGTGCACATATGTTGTGTTTCTCTAGGACTTGGTTTGACTTTATTTTCTTCATGTAGAGTTAACTGAGATCTCTGATCACATTGCTAAGTAGCAGTTCCCACTGGCTGGGCACTGATACTGTAGCATTAACTTGTCCTGATTACTGCCAGTCGGTGTGTACCTTCCCTTGCTGTTCTATGAGATTTTCCTTCACATAATGTGCTGCTGTATTTAGAATTACTGGGAAGAAGCATGTGATCCTCAAGCTTGTGTGTGAAACACTGCACCAAATATCCATGCTAATTCTTGCTTTTAAATTATTTCCTTTTGTCTTATCATTTTTAAAAATCTTGTTAGTATATTTCATTTATGAAAGTCATGGAGAGAGAGTGATCTACCACCTGCTGGTTAACTCCTTAAATTCCTACAAGTTGTGAGTAAAGTCAAGCCCAAAACAGGAGCCAGGAACTAAATCTGTGTCCATTTTAGCAGGTGCAAAGGCTTGCATACTTGAGAAATTTCTTGCTTGCATCCAGAGAGTGTGTTAGCAGCGAGATGGAATTTGTTGTGGAGTGATAACACAAACACAGACAGTCCAGTGTCGGGTGAGCGTCTCCTAAGCAGTTTCTCATCCACTCTACTAGATGCCCACATCTCCTCATTTTAACTGAATATTTTAGATGGTTGCATATTCTGTTCTCTGTGACAATTTCAAGGATGTATCTCCTGAATTTTTGAGTGTTTCTGTAGAGTCTGTAAAGTATATTTGTAAATAATCTAAACCCAATTGTAAATACCCTGTCTCATTTCTTTAGAAATTCATGTATACTCCCAATTTCTTGATAAGTTCAGGTATAGTCCCAACTGCTTTCTCCTGTGCTGTGTGTAATTTTTGTCATTCATTTACTTAGTATCAAGAGCAACAGTTTTGTTCATTTTTGGTAGTATCCTTTTGAATAAAGATTTATATATTAAAAGGCATCAGAATGGAGAAAGTGAATGTTTAGTGTCAAACACTTTCAGTGACCCGACATCCAAAAATCACATTGTACTTTTTGATTAATTTCTCCATTATTTGTTGAAAAGCATGTGAGAGGCAACAGTTGCAATGTGCTGTTCACTTTCTGATGTAGTTCCCTGCTAGTATGCTTGGGAGATAGAAGAAAATGTCCCAGTTCCTTGGACATCTGCCCCTCTGTGGAAGATCTGAATGGAGTTCAGGCTCCTGGTTTTATCCTGGACCTTGCTGCCTCCTGTGGCCCCATGGGGAGTAAACAAGTGGAGGGAAGGTCTGTCTGTCTGTCTTTGGCTCTTGCTTTGTAATTTTCACATTTAAACAAATAAATGAATTGTTTTTAAATAATCAAAAAGGAGGGGGTAAGGAAATCCCCAGGGCTTATGAAAATTTATGGTAAAGTAATAAAAATAAAAGATAAAAAATACAATTAAGATTATATATTCCTGGGAAAAAAAAAGAACCTAGCATGATAGCCTAGTTGCTACAGTCCCAAGCTTGCATGTGTCAGGATCCCATAAGGGCACAAGTTCTTGTCCTGGCTGTTCCAGTTACTATCCAGCTCTCTGCTTGTGACCTGGGAAAAAGTAGAGGACAGCCCAAAGTCTTGAGACCCTGCATGTGCATGAGAGACCCAGAAGAAGCTCTTGGCTCCTGGCTTCAGATCAGCTCAACTCCGGCTGTTGTGGCCACGTAGGCAGTGAGCCAGTGGATGGGAGATGTTTCTCTCTGGTCTCCTCTCTGTAAATCTGAATTTCCTGTTCAAATGAATAAATACTTTACAAAACAAAAATTCAATAAAGAATTTTAAAAGGCACTAAATGTATTTTATACTGTATAGATAGAGACAGTTTAAATTTTTTAGATGTTGTTACTGTTAAGCCATGATTATGATTTTTAAAACTTCCACAGAATTTTGATCCACATGTGTTTGAATACTGTCACAAGGTACAGTGCAGTATTTGTGTACATATACAGCCTAAGCTGAGTAAACAAGGGGCCCAGGCTTTCCATGTGTCTTTGCTTTTACAGTAAACAGGGTCTTCTCTTTCAGTTCCCTGCATAAGCTTATCCTATTGTGAACTGTAGTCACCGCACACTGGGATGGGACACTGGATCTTGTTCCTTCTGTGTCACTTTCTTTCCTACCTGTTCTACCTCCTTCCTTTCCCCAGGCCTCACTCTTCTCAGTCTGTAATAATCACCACTCAAAGTGCAGCTGTGAGTTTTTGACTTATATATATTTTAGATCTATTTGCATATTTTCCTGATTTTATCATATCCAATTTCATCTCTTTTGCAGCAAATAACAATATTTTATTTTGAATGGCTGAATACAGTGCTGATGTTCATTAGGGTTCATTATCAACAAAATCAGGGAAAAAGAATTCAGAAACAAATTTGAATTTCTTGATTCCAAATTCTGTGCATTTATTTCCTTCTCTTATTTACTTTCATTGGGAAAATATTAAATAACAGTGAAAAGTTGGCATTTTTATTTGATTGCGTATCTTGGAAGAAAATTTAATATTTGTAGGTTTGTTCAACTTATGTATGTACGTTATTAAATAAATATAGCATTTTACTGCATGTTTTCTGTAAGATGGTTTTAAAAATGCTTTATCCTTTATCGTGCTTTGTGAAGTATTTGGTGTATTGATTTGCATTTGTTGCCCCATTTTCTACATCCTTGGGCTAGATGCGCTTTGATTATCATGTGTGCATTTATTGGTGTTGTTGAATTCACTTTATATGAAATATGTGAGGATTTTTACCTTTGTTTTTTATGAAGCATACTGGTTTATGGTTTTTAAACTAGACTTCTGGGGTATGAAGTTGTTTCAGAAGAAATATTAAGAAATAAATACATCAGGCCCGGCGCGGTGGCGCAAGTGGTTAAGTCCTCGCCTTGCATGCCCAGGATCCCATATGGGCACCGGTTCTAATCCCGGCAGCCCCGCTTCCCTTCCAGCTCCCTGCCTGTGGCCCGGGAAGGCAGTCGAGGACGGCCCAAAGCTTTGGGACCCTGCACCCATGTGGGAGACCTGGAAGAGGCTCCTGGCTTCGGATCAGCATAGTATCGGCCGTTGTGCTCACTTGGGGAGTGAATCATCGGATGGAAGATCTTCCTCTCTGTATCTCCTCTCTGTATATCTGCCTTTCCAATAAGAAATAATAAAAATAAATCATAAAAAAAAGAAATAAATACATCGAAGTCTAATCATGCTACAATGGAGATTGCATTTTGACTTAGCAATTACATTGTGTTTTTCAATTTGAAACACAGTCCAATGTGGGTGAAGTCACCCACTGTTGATTCAGTCTAGTTTTGGAATTAAATATTGTTAGGCCCAGGATAAATTTGGAACTGTTTTTTTTCCCTTTCGATGGTTTACAATAGTTCTAGAAAATTTGGTGTTAATTTGGTATAATTTAGTAATGGAAACACCTGCTGTTGACCTTTGGTTTGAAGGGATTTTATTTCTTTTTGAAATTTATTTCTGATTCTGTTGCTTACTGTTGGTTTTGTCAGGTTTTAGTGTCTTTCTGATGCACTTTTGTAGGCTAATACTAAGTATCCAGAAATGAACAACTTATTAGTTTATAATTACTGTTGGTAATCCCTAGCGATTTATTGTATTTCTTTTTTTTTTTCCAATAAAGATCGTTTTGTCAGTATTTAAGGCAGAGTTACAGAGAAAGAGGGAGAGTTAGAACGCAAGATCTCCATCTGCTTTATCCTACTCCAAGTGACCACAATGCTAAAGCAGGAGCAGGTTGAAACCAGGAATCATTAATATTTTCAAGTTCTCCCACATCAGCACAGGGACCCAAGCCCTGGGGACATCCTCTGAATTCCAACATGCATTAGCAGGGACCTGGATCAGAAATGAAGCAACCAGGACTTGGAGTGGCATCCACAGGGGATGGTCACATCACAAGCAGTGGCAGAACCCACTTGGTCCAGATAGCCCTGATCCACTATACTTCTGTGAAAGTTGTTTCAATATCTTTGTTTTCTACTTTATGTACTTAAATCTATTTTTTTTCTTTCTTTTTTTAGATTTTTTTTTTATTTTAAAGATTTATTTATTTTTATTGTAAAGTCAGATATGTATCTATCTATCTATCTATCTATCTATCTATCTATCTATATATATATTAGGAGAGACAGAAAGAAATAACTTGCTTCTGCTCATTCACTCCTCAGGTGAGTGCAGTGGCCTGAGCTGTGCCCATCTGAAGCCGTGAGCCTGGAGCACTTCTGGGTCTCCCACACAGGTCCAGGATCCTAAGGTTTTGGGCCATCCTGGACTGCTTTCTCAGGCCATAAGCAGGGAGCTGGCTGGGAAGTGGGGCTGCCAGGATTAGAACAAGTGCCCATATGGGTATCTTGGCACTTGCAAGGCGAGGACTTTAGCCACTAGTCTACTATGCAGGGCCCTAATTTTTCTTAATGCATCTAATAGTTTATTAATTTTGCCTTTTAAAAACTTCAGTATTTCCATTGTCTTCAGTATTGCTTAATATAGTTTATTCTTTTCTTCAGCAATCATTATTTTGAATTTCTTTTAACCACTCCTAGGGTTTTTTTTTTTTTTTAATTTTTCTGGCACTTTGAGATCAGTACTTAAGTTGCTTATTTGACTTTTTGTTGTTGCTGTTGTCCTTTTAAGTGTTAGGCATCTAAAATCATAACCTTTGGTTTCTATATTGCTCTGATGGTGGGTTCTTTCTCATTGGCAGTAAGAAGTATAGTGGAAAATAAGAGTGTACTGTGGTTGCCATAAAAATACACTATAGAATGTCTGTCTTGAATCACAGTAATTCATTTCTTGTGTTTCTAATGACTGAAAGTTTAAAAGCAAGGTGGTGTTAGATTTGGTTTCTGCTGAGGTCACTCCCTGGCCGACTCACAGCCTCCATCTGCCTGTACCCTCACGTGGTGTTTCCTGTGTCCATGTGCAGCCTTTTCTAAAGGAACTTAAGGCATTTTGAAGCATTCACAGTTAACATAGTTTCTGGTAATTGCCTTCTTTAAAAAACATATTGGAAGAAAATTCAAGATTTGATCAAGGCAGGGAGACTTAGTGTTATTTGAAGTTAGAACTCATTCCTCCCCCAACATCATGAGCAGGTGAAATGCGGCCTGCACTGCAGGCGATTGCGACTGAGACACAGACCTTCACCTCCTGCTGACTGCCAGCAGGTGACATTTCGGCTTTTTCTGTGCTCAGTTGCCTGTTGCCAGAACCATGCTCAGGCTGAGTGGTGCTGAGAGAAAGGGGCCCAGGGCCTGCCAGGGTGATGTGGCTCTTTATTGATCATGAGGACACCTAGATCCCATCTTCACCATATGCAGCGTCCACTGTGGGTGAATCTCTATAGAAGCAGCACATTTGCAGTAATTTTGGATTGAAAGTACTAAAGATAATAGGTAGAAGTCCAGAGAGGATTGGTTTTCTTTTTGAAATAAACATTTTTTTTTTAAGATTTATTTATTTATTGGAAAGTCAGATATACAGAGAGGAGGAGAGACAGAAAGGAAGATCTTACACCCGGTGATTCCCTCCCCAAGTGAGTGCAATGGCCGATGCTATACCGAACTGAAGCCAGGATCCAGGAACTTCTTCCGGGTCTCCCACATGGGTGCAGAGTCCCAAGGCTTTGGGCCGTCCTGGACTGCATTCCCAGGCCACAAGCAGGGAGCTGGATGGGAAGTGGAGCTGCCGGGATTAGAACCAGTGCCCATATGAAATCCCGGTGTGTTCAAGGCAAGGACTTTAGCTGCTAGGCCACGCTGCTGGGCCCTGAAATTAACATTCTTTTAAAATCTATTTTTATTTCAAAGACAGCATTACAGAAAAAGAAACTGAAAGAAGCAGAGACTGAGAGGCATCTTCCATCTGCTGGTTCCCTTCCTAACTGTCCTCATTAGCTGAAGGTAGCTGGTGCTAGTGAAGAGCTTGGAGTTTATCCTATCCTTCCAACATAAGCACAGGCGCTCAAGGACTTGGACCATCCTTACTTCTTTCCTAGCCATTAGCAGGGAGCTGGATTGTAAGTGGAATGGCCCAAGCTGAAGCAGCACCCATATGGGATGACAGCACTGATGGTGGATGCTTAGCCAAGGATGCTGGTGCCATCTTGCTGTGTGTTTTTGTTTTAGAGGCCAGGACAGAGAGCATGGAGAGATTACTCTCAGAGCCTGGTTCCCTACCCAAATTGTTGTACCATATTAGATTAAGTTAAAACTGGGAACTAATGAGGCATGTATGGCATCACAGCAAGTTTATTAAGTGATATGGTTACCCATGTTATCCTTCAAGATTACTAGCTCAGGATTTGGCTACTTCTAATTAACAACTTCCTGGATAGACTGAAAAAATATCCCACCAAACTGGGTTTCTAAGTGTCACTATGGGAGCATAGATAGAATTCCTCATTTCTAGCTTTGACTTGACTCATCTATATACCTGATGTAACAATAATAATAAATCTGCAACAAAAAAAGAATTCCTTCTTTCTAATTTTTTCTTGACTCAGCTTGGCTTTTGTAAGTGTGGGTAGCATGAACTGCCAGATCTAAGTGTCACTATGGGAGCATAGATAGAATTCCTCATTTCTAGCTTTGACTTGACTCATCTGTATACCTGTCTTTCCTAATAATAATAGTAATAATAATAAATCTGTAACAAAACAGAGTTTCTCCTTTCTAATTTTGGCTTGACTCAGCTTGACTGTTGTGAGTGTGGGTAGCATGAACCACCAGATATAAGCTCTGTTTGCATTTCAAATAAATAAATATTTGTTACTACCTGGAAGCTATGTGTTAAATCTAAGTATTCAACATAACTGAAGTGTCTGCTTGAACTTCACATTTCAGTGATGCCCCGGGGTGGACTTGCGCAGGCAGCTGGAATGGAATCAGGCATGGTACTTGCATTCAAACCAGGCACTCTGGGTTGTGTTGCTCCTAAGCAGAAAGTTTACCACTATGTTCAACTCCAACAGTTTTTAGAAGGTAAAACTAGCTAAAAATTGATGGTGGAGCCTCAGCTATATGTTGGCGGTGAAAAACTGGGCAAATGGAGACTCCGTGAAGGACTATGTCAACCACTGGATTCTGCAGCGATTTCTTTGCACTTGGAGTGGTGAGATTGGCTGCAATTCATAACTGTTGAACTATCAAAACCACTTGAGCAAGGCCCTCAGAGCATGCCCCACATCAGGGACCTGGGATGGGTGGGAGACTGGGTGGGGTTTCTCCCTTTAAATCCTCCTTTACCTCAGACACATGAAGGAAACAATGTGGAAATAACAGTCTTACCCACTTTCCGGTAGCCCTTGAACCTTTTTATCCTAATTAACTATGTCAAGATTGTCAAAAATATAATTTTAAAAATGGGGGAAAAAACGGCTTTGCAGAAAAAAATAATGATGGTGATGATGGTCATAATTAAAAAACAATGAATTTTGTAGTGAGTTCTTAGGTGATTTTTAACACCGTAAATGGATGAAATAAATCATTTCAAAATTTTCAGGTGCATTTTACTAGGTCACACTCCAGTCTGCATTAAACATGATTTTCCTCTATAGGGTATTTTGCATTTGAATATAAATGTAACCATGAGGGATGGTCACACAGCAGTTACACAAATTACAGTGATAGTTTCAGGTCCAGAGGTTTTGGGGAAAGGAAACATTACTGTGCTTGTCTTTGAAGAATGGGCTATAAAATAAATAAATTCTTTAAAAAAAAAAAAACTATAATCAGGGCCCGGCATGCTGGCCTAGAGGCTAAAGTGCTCACCTTGAACCCACCAGAATCCCATATGCACCAGTACTAATCCCGGCAGCCCCACTTCCCATCCAGCTCCCTGCTTGTGGCCTGGGAAAGTAGTTGAGGACAGCCCAAAGCCTTAAAACCCTGCACCCATGTGGGAGATTTGGAAGAAGTTCCTGGCTCCTGGATTTGTATCAGTGCATACCAGCCATTGCAGTTACTTGGGGAGTGAATAATCGGGTGGAAGATATTTAAAAATATATGAGCAGACACCTAAGGTACATGAGAATATTTTTAGTAGTAATGAGTCAAAAAGACTAACCTTTGGTGCTTGTGTTGTGGTGTAGTGTGTTAGATCACTGCTGGTCATCCTGCATAGAATATTGCATTGCCAGGGAATAAAGGAAATCCACAAGCCCAGGGAATTGTATCATAAAACTAAGAATAAAATAGAGGGAGAAAAAAGAAGTAGGATACCCAAATATGTATAAAATTGTCAGTTGTACAAGTGTCTTTGTGAAGTTCTCTTAATTGAATTTTTTTTAAGATTTATTTATTTATTGGAAAGTCAGATATACAAAGAGGAGGAGAGACAGAGAGGAAGATCTTCCGTCCGATGATTCACTCCCCAAATGAGTACAATGGCCGATGCTATGCCGATCTGAAGCCAGGAACCATTAACTTCTTCCGGGTCTCCCACACAGGTGCAGGGTCCCAAAGCTTTGGGCCGTCCTCAACTGCTTTCCCAGGCCACAAGCAGAGAGCTGGATGGGAAGTGGAGCTGCCGGGATTAGAACCGGCGCCCATACGGGATCTCGGCACATTCAAGGCAAGGACTTTAGCTGCTAGGCCACGCTGCCGGGCCCTCTTATTTGAATTTGAAATGTAATTCTTTATTACTCAGCAAGATATACCCACAAATCAACATTAAAAATGTTGTTCTAGGGTGGGTCTCAGGACGGGGCGTCTCATGCCTGGATCCCGGATGGCCGCCATGGGCACATGGTGAGCCGTTCTCCCCGGGCCTGCTGGGTTTCGGGGGCCGCTTCCTTCGGGGTGAGTAGACCAAGGGGGGGAGGCCTCCAGGACTGGGCAGGTCCGGGGCCCACCCGCTGCCTTCATGGGGCGGTGAATGGGATTTGGGAGGGGCGCGACCTTGGGCCTGGGTTATTTAAACCTCCAGCAGCCTCCTGGCAGCTGGTGGGTCTCAGGACGGGGCGTCTCATGCCTGGATCCCAGACGGCCGCCATGGGCACATGGTGAGCCGTTCTCCCCGGGCCTGCTGGGTTTCAGGGGCCGCTTCCTTCGGGGTGAGTAGACCGAGGGGGGGAGGCCTCCGGGACTGGGCAGGTCCGGGGCCCACCCGCCGCCTTCATGGGGCGGTGAATGGGATTTGGGAGGGTCACGACCTTGGGCCTGGGTTATTTAAACCTCCAGCAGCCTCCTGGCAGCTGGTGGGTCTCAGGACGGGGCGTCTCATGCCTGGATCCCAGATGGCCGCCATGGGCACATGGTGAGCCGTTCTCCCCGGGCCTGCTGGGTTTCGGGGGCCGCTTCCTTCGGGGTGAGTAGACCGAGGGGGGGAGGCCTCCGGGACTGGGCAGGTCCGGGGCCCACCCGCTGCCTTCATGGGGCGGTGAATGGGATTTGGGAGGGGCGCGACCTTGGGCCTGGGTTATTTAAACCTCCAGCAGCCTCCTGGCAGCTGGTGGGTCTCAGGACGGGGCGTCTCATGCCTGGATCCCAGACGGCCGCCATGGGCACATGGTGAGCCGTTCTCCCCGGGCCTGCTGGGTTTCGGGGGCCGCTTCCTTCGGGGTGAGAAGACCGAGGGGGGGAGGCCTCCGGGACTGGGCAGGTCCGGGGCCCACCCGCCGCCTTCATGGGGCGGTGAATGGGATTTGGGAGGGGCGCGACCTTGGGCCTGGGTTATTTAAACCTCCAGCAGCCTCCTGGCAGCTGGTGGGTCTCAGGACGGGGCGTCTCATGCCTGGATCCCAGACGGCCGCCAAGGGCACATGGTGAGCCGTTCTCCCCGGGAGCTCTGGGGATTTGGTTCTTTGAGTTGCTGCTTAATTAGTTCCAGGTTGAACCCATTGTGCTTCTTGGACCTGAAACAGGCAGTAACTCTTCTTTAGCAAAAGTTGTAATCACTAATAATGCTGAGCACCAAATACCAGTCATGCAGAAACTATGGCTTGAGGCTTGTCCTGCACAAGTAGCTCCAACAGCTGGCCAAAGTGTCAACTGGTAATGGAACAGAGTAGATTAGGCACGACTGAGCAAACCTTAGCCCACAAGTAAAACTAGAAACCAGAAGGGAGCAGAGGTCATGCCGAGCTAGGCTCTTGTACCTGCTGGTCTGTGGGAGCCTGGGACGCTAAGCCACAGTGTCTAAGGCAGAGTTCGGGACAGGGGAGGGGCTGTGCC